AGCTTATGAAGCCAGCAGTTGATTTCTTTGCTGCTGTTGCTGCTGTTGCTGTTGCTGCTGCTGCTGCTGCCGCTGCTGCAGTGAACCCATGTTACGCACGATACGACGAGGAGACAAAATATCCCCCGCCTGTTGAAATCTCTGCGCTAAGTTGGCGCGCTGCTGCGGCGGCTCTGCTGCTGCTGCTGCTGCTGCTGCTGCTGCTGCAACAGGCGGTTGAGGAAGAGCAGCAGCTGCTGCAGCAGGACCGAGGACTGCAGCTGCATGATGATCCTCGGTGGTTGCTGCTGCTGCTGCTGCTGCTGCTGCTGCTGCTGGTGATGCTGCTGTCGCTTCCTGCTGCGCATGCAGATTGCTGCAGCAAGACCCGTTCAGCTGCAGCAGCAGCTGCTGCTGCGGCTGCTGCAGCGAAGCGGGGACCCTCCGCAGCGGCCTTCTTACAGGCCCTGCTGCTGCTGCTGCTGCTGCTGCTGCTGCTGCTGCTGCTGCTGGGAACGCAGCATCCTCTCCTGAGCGAGACCGCCGCAGAGAGGCGCAGCCGCCGACAAAGAGAGAAGGACGAACAGCAGAAGAAGTGAAGAAGCTGCTGCTGCTGCTGCTGCTGCTGCTGCCGTTGCCGTTGCCGTTGCTGCTGCTGCTGCTGCTCGTCCTTCTATACACAGGACCTATGGGAGACATCTGTAAGGCAATGAAGCAGCAAAGCTGCTGCTGCAGCACCTGCGGCAGCTGCTGCTGCAGCAGCAGCAGCACATCCAGCAGCCGCTGCAGCCGTATAAATTCCCTCGTATCTGCTGCTGCATCTGCTGCTGCATCTGCTGCATGCAGCCGTATCTCCTGCAGCAGCAACTCTGCTGCTGCTGCTACGCGACGCAGCAGCAGCGGCCCCACACTCCGCAGCAAATCAATGAGAGCTGCAGCAGCACCGCTGGAGAGCTGCAGCAGCACAGGCAACGCAGTGAGGAAGTTGCAGCAGCAGCAGCAGCAGCAGGAGTAGCAGCAGCAGCAAGAGCAGCAGCAACAAATGCAGACACAGAAGCAAAGGCAGCAGCAGCAGCAAAAGCAGCAGCAGCAGCAGCAGAAGCAGCAGCAGCAGCAGCAAAAGGAAGAAGTGCTGAGGTGTACAGGCAGCTAGCATACCTCTCCATCATCCCTGATGCAGCAGCAGACTGCCTCAGCAGCAAGGCCCTGCAGCAGCTCGCACTCAGCCATTTTGCTGCTGCTGCTGCTGTTGCTGCTGCTGCTGCTGTTGCTGCTGCTGCTGCTGCTGCTGATGAGACGGCTGCGCTTGCCGTTGCTGCTGCTCCTCCTGCTGCTGCCGCTGTTGCTGCTGCTGTTATCCCTTCATGAGTGCTGCTGCTGCTGCTGCTGCTGCTGCTGCGTTGGTTGCTGTGCATGCTGCAGCAGCAGCTGCTGCTGCCCTGCTGCTAGTGCAGCTGCAGCAACGAACAGCCGCATGCAGCAGCAGCATTCACTACCTTATACAATTTGTTTGAGTGCTGCTGCCGGGCTACACCTGTGAGAAGTCGCTACAGCAGCAGCAGCAGCTGCTGCTGCTGCTGCTGCCGCTGCTGCTGGTGGTGCTGCTGCTGTCGATGCTGCTGCTGTTGTTGCTGCTGCTGCTGCTGTCGATGCTGCGGCCTTCACCTGCGGGAGCGTGTCTGCTGCTGCGGTGCTGCTGCTGCAGGCGTGCTGCTGCTGCAGACTCAAAGGAGAGCAGCGGCAGGAACAGCAGCAGCAGCAGCAGCAGCAGCAATGCCTGCTGCGTCGAGTTTCTCACTCAATGACTCGCCGTTGTGTATTGCGAGAGAAGTACAGAGGGCAGCTTAGCAACAGCAGCAAGTCAAGAGCAGCAGCAGCAGCAGCAGCAGCAGCAGCAGGAGCAGCAGGAGCAGCAGCAGCAGCAGCAGCGGGCCCCCTCAAGGCACATCAATATGAAGGCCGTTTGCATCTACACTTGTTTATATTATTCTTTTTATTTTAATTTTATTTGTTTATCTTTAAACAATTAAATTAATTTAATTTAGCAGCAGCTCTGCTGCTGCATTATACACCTGGCGCCCCCAGGAGCAGACCACGCCGCGGCCGACGCGCTCCCGCAGCAGCAGCAGCAGCAGCAGCAGCAGCAGCAGCAACAGCAGCAGCAGTAGCAACTCCTGGAGAAATCAGAAACACCAAATCTCTCAGGAAGACCGGCAGCTGCGCCGTGATGTGTGGCAGCAGCTGCAGCAACTGCAGGGACCGCAGCAGCAACAGCAGCAGCAGCAGCAGCAGCAACAGCAGCAGCAGCAGCAGCAGCAGTTCAAACTGCATGAGAACAGTACCCTAAGCAGCATCTGCATCAGCAGCAGCTGCTGCTTTTTCTCTGGTCCTAACAACGCCAAGCATGGAGGAAGTCAGCAGCAACAACAGCAGCAGCAGCAGCAGCAGCGGCAGCAGGAGCATGAGCAGCTGTGCTGCATTCCGAGTGACTCACTTTGGTTTCCCCCCCAGCACCAGCACCAGCAGCAGCAGCAGCAGCAGCAGCAGCAGCAGCAGCAGCAAGGCGAAGGCATCAGCAGCACTAGACGTTCATCTCTCTACCTGTCTGCTGCTGCAGGTGGGGCCCCTCAACGTGCTGGTGGACTGCCCGCTGCTGCTGCGTTCGCTGCTGCACTCACCGCCGGTAGGTTACCAGACCCTCACAGCAGCAGCAGCAGCAGCAGCAGCAGCAGCAGCAGCAGCAGCAGCAGCAGCAGCAGCGAGTCCAGCAGCAGCAACAGCAGCAACTGAGGCAGGGGTGGGGGCCTCCTCCGGCCGCCTCAGAGTGCAGCAGCGGCTAGACCTGCAGCAGCTGCTGCAGCAGCTGGGGGGGGCCCCCCTTCACGCTATACTTATAACGAACCCCCATGGTCTGCTGGGGGTGCCGCTGCTGCTGAGTCAGCTGCAGCAGCAGCAGCAGCAGCAGCAGCAGCTCCCCACCATCCTTGTAACGAAGCCTGTGGCCTTTCTCGGGTGTACAGCCATCTCCTTCTTGCAGTCAGAGCAGGGAGGATGCATGCTGCCGTCTGCTGCTGCTGCTGCTGCTGCTGCTGTTGCTGCTGGGAGTCCCTCTGCAGCAGCAGCAGCAACAGCAGCAACAGCAGCAGGCCGAG